TTCCTTCCGAGGAGTGGCTGGTGGGTTTGAACCGCCAGCCTTCTGGTTAGCAGTCAAGTGCCTTAGGCACTATGCTACCAGAGCTCCTTCTATTTACAACAGTATCATAAAAATACTTAAAATAAATTGAACAAAAGTACAGCACATATACTCAGAAAACTATAAAATATGCTAAAAAGAAACTAAAGAGGATCTAAATAAGTGGAAAGACATCCCACATACATAGATCAAAGAACTTAATATTGTTAAAATGGCAACACCCAAGAAATTGATATAAAAGATTCAGTGCAATCTCTATCAGAATCCTAGTTGGTTTCTTTGTAGAAAAAGATAAGCTGATCCTAAAATTATTATGAAAATGTGAAGGGCCTAGAGAACAGATAAAACAATTTTTTAAAAGAACAAAGTCATAAAACTCAGACTTCTCAAAATCTTACTACAAAGCAACAGTAACCTAGACAGTGTGGTACTGGAACAAGGACAGACAAAGATCAGTGGAACAGAATTGAGAATGCAGAAATAAACCCATGTGTCTATGGGTCAATTGATTTTCAATTAGGGTGCAAGACCATTCAACAAATGGTGCTGGGACAACTGGATAGCTCTGTGCAAAAGAATCCACGAGGACCTTTATTTCACACAATATACAAAAATTAACTCGAAATGGATCAAAGACCTAAATGTAAAAGACATGTAAAACATAGTATTAAAACTTAAGATTTAGCAATGCCTTCTTAGATATGACACCAAAAGTACAATAACAAAAGAAAAAACAGATAAACTGGACTTCATAAAAATCAAAAATTTTGCACTTCAAAGGACACATAAAGAAAGTAAAAAGACAACTCACAGTATGGGAGAATACATTTGAAAATCTTGTATCTGATGAGCAACTCACAATCTGAATAATAAAGAACTCTTACAATTCAATAACAAAGACAAATAACCCAATGAAAAAACACACAAAGGATATGAGTAAAAACTTCTCCAAAGAAGATATATATGTGAAAGGCCAAAAACCACATGAAAAGATGTTTAACATCATTAGTCACTAAGGAAACACAAATCAAAACCACAATGAGGTATCACTCACATCCAGTAGGATGGCTGTAATCAAAAAGGCAAACATTTTTTAAGAATAAAAAATAAATCAGACATTAACAAGTGTTGACAAGAATGTTGAAAAAGCAGAGGAGTTCTGGTAAGATGGTAGAATAGGCAGACAAACTACACAGACCCTCTTCAACAAACAAAAGGGAAACCAATTAACACAGATACAGAATATAATCCTGGAGCCCTGAACTATGAAAGAAAGGATACAGAAGTGGAGTAAACTACAAATAGTAGAAGAACCTGCATGATAACACCAAAAAAAAAAGACACACAGAGCTGTAGTCTGTCAGTGATCCTGACAGCACTGACAACTTGGGTATTGCCAAGGGGCATTAGGACTTAAGAAATAACCTAAATATCAACACTGCTAGCCAGGGGCTGCTGGGAGGAATACACTAGGGGCTGGTGAATAAAAGGCGAAGCAGCAAAGAGTGAGACAGCCTGAGCTTTGGAGTTTTACCTGTCTGGAGGGCGCAGCCATTTGGAATGTTTACAAGCGGTTCGACCATTTTGGATATTTAAAGGTCACTTTCTCAGATTCTAGGGACCTAACAACAGGCTTCACTTGCCGGAAACCACAAGGACATTCTGGACATGAATGACTGGAAAGGTGTGATATTTCCCTTGTTACTCTTATACCCCACACCCTCTTGGTAAACAGAAGTGTAGCCATCCCTCACTCCTACCCACCTTCTGGGCCAGCAGGAATTCCATCCCAGTCTGTCTGCCCTGCCTC